AAAGAAGGGAAATTGAAAGAGAAAAAGGTCATTTCTTATCATATTTGCATATCGTAATGGAAATGGAAAGAAAGGAAGAGAAAGAGAAATGGAATTGACAGATTAAGCAAATAAGGGAATTCGTGACGAGTTTGCGACTTGATTTTGGAATTGGAATTAATGTTTTGATAAAGAATTTAATCAAGAAAATAGAAAATACCGTATTCTCTCTAATAGTAGTGCGCACTACTATTTTTTGAACCCCCTCCTGGACCGCAATACTATTAGAGAGTGCAGTACTATTAAAGAGTTTTATCATTTACCAAAGTAAGACAGATATAAGATTTGTTCCAAAAATTCTTGCAATTCTTTCACGTACTCCTTTGGCTCCTTTTGACATACAGTTGTGGGCCGGCGAGTTGACAACTTGTGTCTTGACAAACAACAAAAAGATGTTTTTGCACTTTGCACAACAATTTTAGATTTTTGCGAACTTTTTCATATGAAGAATAGTTAATAAATGAACAAAAAAAGCCTCACTTTTGCTTGCTTGAATAGCTTTAGAATGTCACATAAACATAAAGGTTTAGATGAAAAAGAAGCAAACAGAAATTCAAATTTTCGGGGGTGCACTACTATTTTTTGAACCCCCTCCTGGACCGCAATACTATTAGAGAGTGCACTACTATTAAAGAGTGCACCTCTATTAGAGAGAATATACGGTAGTTCAATTTTCCATTTTCTCCATAAATTTACAATATATTAATAAGATAAGCTAGTTAATATTACGATAGTTTTAGAGCTTCTACAAAGAATATTGTGACCTACCATTGCAAAGATCCACAACGAATCATTTGAATGTGGATTTATGACAGTGTTAAACGTTTCTCTCGGAACTTCAGGCTAAAAGGTTCTCAATTTTTGACTACAAAGGAAGAGACTGAGAAATGGAATTGACAGATTACGCAAATAAGGGAATTCGTGACGAGTTTGCGATTTGAATTTGGAATTGAAATTAAAATTGAAATTGTTTGATAAAGGATTTAATCAAGAAAATATTGTTTTCAATTTTCAAATCAATTCGATTTTTTCTTTCTTTTAAAATTACCCTTCAGATGAGCTAAATCGAAACAGAATTTTGTTTGTTTTGTGTTAATAATGCAATAGTTTGTATTTAAATTTGAATTAATTGAATTTAAATTGAATTAATTTGAATTAAAATGAATTAAATTAAATAAAATTGAATAAAATTAAATGAAATTGAATTAAAATGAAAAATTTGTTCAAGCTAAAGAAACGACTCTCGGTCAAAATGACCTAAATGCACAGCTTTTGAACAAAGAAATTTTCTTTTCTTTTCAAAGCCGCTTTTTCCTATCTCGAGTTCGGATCGAGATTTGGAAAGTCTGAAGAAAGAAAAAAGACAACCTTTTTTCAACTTGAAGCCTATAAAATCACTTTAATCTTTTCTTTTGAGAAGAAAATATATAGATAGATAAATATTTTTTCAACAGTATTCTGTCATATTTATCTATCTATATGTCGTAGCCGCTTACGAAATTCAGCCGCTAAGGAATGCTTCGTGGGCCGCTAACGAATGCTTCGTGAGCCGCTAACGAATGCTTCGTGAGCCGCTAACGAATGCTTCGTGAGCCGCTAACGAATGCTTCGTGAGCCGCTAACGAATGCTTCGTGAGCCGCTAACGAATGCTTCGTGAGCCGCTAACGAATGCTTCGTGAGCCGCTAACGAATGCTTCGTGAGCCGCTAACGAATGATTCGCGGCTAGCCGTTAACGAATGATTCGTAATCGGCTAGCCGTTAACGAATCATTCGTAATCGGCTGAATTTCGTAAGCGGCTACGACATATATATGTTACGTCCGAATCTGAGGAGACGTCCATCTCCGATCCGGACGTCCGAATCTGAGAAGATTCATTCTCCTCTGAAACGGACGTCCGACTCAGAGATGGACGTCCGATCTCTGAGTCGGACGTCCGTTTCAGAGGAGAATGAATCTCCTCAGATTCGGACGTCCGGATCGGAGATGGACGTCTCCTCAGATTCGGACGTAACATATATATTATCTTATCAAAAGAAAAGATTAAAGTGATTTTATAGGTTTCAAGTTGCAAATGATTGTCTTTTTCTTTCTTCAGACTTTCCAAATCGATAGATAAATATAAATAGATAAATATGTCAGAATACTGATGACAGAATAGTATTAAACCTTTAAAGTCTCTGAAAAATGTTAAGAGTTTAACATTTGAATGTGCATTTCGTTAATTATCTCTATCTTTATCTTTATTAGCATAATGTATGCATAAATTTTGAACTATTAAACAAACAAAAAAAGCGATTTGAAACCCGGTACACACACGATCGTGGAATGAAATGTCAAGGAGAAAAGGTGGAAAAAGAATATCACTAAAAAATTGCACAAAAATTTCCAATCTTTAAATGTACTTTGAGCTTAAAAATGAAAAAAAAACAGCTTTTCTAATGGACATTAACTGAGGATTCTAATGTTTACGGCTATTTTCTACTATTTCGATTCTATTCTGGTTCTCAATGTTGTCATTTACTCATTATCTTTTACTTACCTTTACTTATCTTTTACTTACTTTACTATCTATTTAATGAAGCTTAACTATTTAGTTAAATCTTTTAAAGCTATTTTTACATTTGAATTCAAAGTACATCAAGAAAAAAAATAGTTATTCAAAAATGGCTTGTCAAAAATGAATCAAAAATTGAGGTATAAGTATAGCAAATACTAGCATTTACACTACTGAACAATGAAATATCATATTTGAAAAAAGATCGTCACTTTCGCGCTTCTGTAACTCTGTTGTCTTTGAGTTAAACTATTAGTGTTATACATTTTCTGAAAGCTCTTTTCAAGAGCTACACAATGATAATATTAATATTTAGAAATACGGTAAAGACAAGGGAGTTACAGACGCGCGAAAGTGACGACCGTTTTTCAAATATCATATTTCATTGTTCAGTAGTGTACGATGAACAATTGAAATTGGATCATGAACAGCAAACTCAAAATTGACTGTAATCTGTAACAGTTTACTAAGAAAAAGTTTAATCATGAAAGAAAGCTTTAAAAGATCAATCTTATCAAGTCTCAAAATATCTATAAAGCATATACAGTACTGGACAATGAAATATGATATTTGAAAAACGACCGTCACTTTCGCACGTCTGTAGCTCCGTTGTCTTTGAGTTTGTCTTTGAGTTTAACCTATTAGTGTTATACATTTTCTGAAAGCTCTTTTCAAGGGCTACACAATGGTAATATTAATATTTAGAGTTACAGACGCGCGAAAGTGACGATCGTTTTTCAAATATTAGATTTCATTTTGATTGTGCACCAATACGGTCAAGACTTGGTTCAATACTAACATCTACACTACTGAACAATAAAATATCATTTAGCAAAAACGGACAGCAGATTTGGAATCAGCGTAAAATTCTGTATCGGATGATCTACACTACTGAACAATGAAATATGATATTTGAAAAACGATCGTCACTTTCGCTCGTCTGTAACTTCGTTGTCTTTACCGAATTTCTAAATATTAATATTACCATTGTGTAGCCATTGAAAAGAGCTTTCAGAAAATGTATAACACTAATAGTTTAAACTCAAAGACAACGGAGTTACAGACGCGCGAAAGTGGCGATCGTTTTTCAAATATCATATTTCATTGTCCAGTACTGTACTTACTAGCAAACGGATTTATATTAGATTTACAAAGAATAAGTAGATATGAGATCATAAAGAAATCACAGAAAAATCACTGGAAACCGGCTAAAACTTGATCTTAATAGAAGTCTTAATAGAAGTCTAAAGTCTAAAGTCTTAATAGAACCTATCAATATCCTTCATTAAGATTTATCAAGCTAAAAGTGTTAAGAGAACCTATTAATATCCTTCATTAAGATTTATATCAAACTTTCAGGCTAATGCCAACTTGAAATAGAATAGAATCCAGTTGTTTTCCTGTGTTTGAAATTTCAAGAAAAAAAAAATCAGCAAAACACGTTTCTATTCACAGAAAATACCCGTCTTTTAGGTTTTAGGTGAGAAAAAGGAAAAAGAAAACGCAAATCTCCACAAACAATCAATCGAAAGTCAAAGCTGGCAACCAATTGAATGGGGGAAAAGAATGAGCATTGACGAAAGAAAAGTGAGAACACGGAAAGGGAGCTTGTTTGTTCAAAGTATTACCGGGGAAAGGGAATAGCCGGTTTTGGAGTTTCTTTGAGAAAAAAATAAAACTAAACGCAAGCTATCTGGAGTAGCAATTTGATGTCAGAGCTCATTGTAGCTTGTTCAAATCTTGTTCAGCTTGTTCAAATCTCTACCAACTACAGTACTTTATTTTACTTCATCTTTTCGTAGTTCAGTTCAGGATTGAATTCGGTGATTTGTTCTACTTTTTGTTTTACTTTTCTACTGTTTTACAATTTGTTCTACTCTCTCAAAGATTCTCCAAAGTTTTCCGGCAGACATTGCTTTTTCTAGTTTATTCTTTGAATTCTAAATTCTAAATTCTGAATTCTAAAGAAACATATGTTTTCTGGTTCTTCATTTTGATCAAAAAAGGAATTGAATTTACGAGAAAAAATGAGTGAAAAGTACTAGTAATCACCGAATTCGATCCTGAACTGAACTGCGAAAAGATGAAGTAAAATAAAGTACTGTAGTTGGTAGAGATTTGAACAAGCTACAATGAGCTCTGACATCAAATTGCTACTCCAGATGGCTTGCGTTTAGTTGTATTTTTTTTCTCAAAAAAACTCCAAAACCGGTGCAAAGTACTTCAGAGTACAAAGTACTTCAGAGTACAAAGTACTTCAGAGTGCAAAGTACTTCAGAGTGCAAAGTACTTCAGAGTGCAAAGTACTTCAGAATTCAGGCTGAGAATTCAGAATTCAGCCATGTACACGTTACCTGAATTGAAATGAGAAAAGTATTAAAAAAATAGGAAAAGTTCAATGCTAGGAAATCTCAGCAGTGTTCATAGAGGCATAGGCTGAGTCAGCCTCGCGAGGCGGCGCATTTGTGGGCACGATATGCAGTGAAGCCGATATTGTCGATGATGGATAAATCGGGTCCGACGGATCCTCGATTTCGATCTCGTCCACCCCCGAGTCACACTAAACATTTCCATTTTTTTTTTCGAGTCTTCTAGATTCAAACCTTTTCTCCGAGTAGTGCCACCCGTTCACTCTCATTTTCGTGGGTGAGTGAATCGGTTTGCCCATTTCCATACCCATTTTGCTTCTCACACGCATCCTGAGTTTAATTTTTCGTAGATAAATCGATTTTTTTTGTATTAGAGAAGTGTAAGACTTTGATATTTAATGAAACTTGATGGCTAAAAGCTAAAAAAAAGCTTTTGAGCACTACTGTTTCTACTTGTCATTGATCAAAAAAGAAAGTCATAAAAGCAAGTTCAAAGCCAAAGTCAGACTATAATCAATTTTGCTCTGGCTTTGGACTGACTTGGTCTAAATTTTTGTCTAATATCTCGGTTCTAGATTGTCTTTGTCTTTGTCTTTATTTGAGAATTGTTTTAAGAGTTTTACTTTACAACAAGAAATAAAGAACAATCACTTCTTGAAGTCAAAAGAAAAATCCAAAGTGAGGATCGAATTTGCAAGGTCTGCGAGGTCTAGAGACGAACGCTGTACCACTCGGTCATAACTAGACCGGACTGTGTCCGCAAGGAGATCGAAGACGCAAAGAGGAAGACCCAAATCTCTATTTAGGCTCCTAACAAAACTTTAGACGCTTATAACTCCTGACAGATTGTCATTTAGCAAAAAAGGAATATATATTCGGAATCAGCACAAAATTCTGCGTCGAATGATATAGTTTGCATAGCATTTGGTCTTAGCCTTCCATTGTTAGACTATGAAAAGCAAGATCAAGCCAACAATCAGGTCAAATCTCGACTTTGATCTGGCTTTTTCTCTGGATCTGGGTTTCAGATTGTAGAATTGGACTACAAATACGAAGATTTTTTGCTGAGATTATCTGTTGCTGAAATGAAAACTTACAATCAACGGTTTCCATGTTTCCAACTTGAACTTTACATTGAGCAATCCACAAAGCAATGGAGCATGTCTTGGCAGATTGTAGACTGTTTCCACAAATGGAGAACTACTCATCGTATGACACCAAGAAGCATGAATCTAAAGAACAATCTTAAGAACAATCTAAAGAACAATCTAAAGAACAATCTAAAGAACAATCTAAAGAACAATCTAAACAACAATCTAAACAACAATCTAAGCAACAACCTAAACAACAATCTAAACAACAACCTAAACAACAATCTAAACAAGAGTCTAACCAACAATCTAAACAACAATCTAAAGAACAACCTAAACAACAATCTAAACAACAACTTCAGACTTCTAAACTCAGAAATCTTCAATCTTCTTTCTAAAACAATTAAATCTTCAATCAAAGAGTTACCAGTCTTGGATCCGTTTGCTTGATGAGACTGAGAATTTGCGTTTCTTGAATTGGTCTCACCGATTCATCCCAATCTTTTCCGTAAACCATTAGAATCTGAAACACTTGGAGTTTTGAATCAATTTGATATGTCATTATTCAAAAATCACCTTATCAGCTTCTCTCAACACTTCAGAGATCCATTGAAAGACATTCTCTTCAACTTGGCTCTTTTCCCATTTCTCGAAACGAATTCTCACTCCACTGATTGACAAGGATTTCGCTAATCCCTCGCAAAGTTGATTTTCTCGTTCTGTATAGCATCGATCAATCACCAAAATGGTTTTTCGAACGAGTTCTGAAGTAAAAGTTATACTTTGATACTTTAAATTAGAAAAAAGGAGTATTGGGTTGGTGAATTGAAAACTGCCGGCCTTTGAACTAAAATTTATTCAACAGAAAACCATGAATTCATTCCAAATAATTTCCATTATTATTGACGACTTCTGCCCATTTTACAGGCAATTTGCGGATTCCTCTTTCGTAGTAGGATTTTGGTTTGTGTGTGAGACAAGTGTGAGACTCAAAAATGGAGGACTGGTGATGTCCCAATGTCCCAGTTTGAGCACTTTCTTTAAAAGAAACCCATTTTGATGTCAATAGAAAAGTTGTAGAGAATCAAAAATTAGGCTTATAGCCAAATTTCCAAAAAGATACACTTAGTAGTTTCGCTTAAAATGCAAGTTTTGTGAAAGTTTCGTAAATTTGGCATTTCTTGAAAGCCAGTTTTTGAATCGTTCTGAAAATTTGGATATAAGCTTGATTTTTGACTCTCTCCAACTTTTCTATTGACACCAAAATGGGTTTCTTTTGAAGAAAGTGCTCAAACTCTCACATATGACAATAGTCCGCAGTTTTCAATTCACCAACCCAATAGCTATCTGCTGAATTTTTTGGAGCCGTTTAGAACAAATCTGGGATGTCAAAAAGAGTCACCTAGAAGAATCAAATCTAGGTTCGAGTGATGGGAAATCTCCACCGATGGACGGTGCAATGTGTTCTTATGATTAACATGTTCACCAGAAAATCTACGTCGTCTTGTGGTTTGTTGAATGAAAAATTTCGATTATTTGTAATTTAAAGCAAAAAAAATAGGAATTTAACATAACTTGTAGTCTCACTGACTCAATTGACATATGACAAGAGCCCACAGTTTTCAATTCACCAACCCAATATAATAGTTGACACTAACCTTTGAAGCTTTTCACTGGTAAGGCTTCAGGATCCAATTTTGGTCCAAAAGACAATTTGATATGTCGTTCAGTGTTGATCAATTTTCGATGATAGAAACCCAACAAAGCAATCAGAATAAAAAGCGCTGCAACAACGACAACAAGAAGAATCTAAAGTAAAGCATTTTACTCCATAAATTTACAATATAGTAATAAGATAAGCTAGTTAATATTCATGATAGCTTTAGAGCTTTTAAAAAAGAATATTGTGACCTACCAATGCAAAGATCCACAACGGATCATTTGAATGTGGATTTATGACAGCGTTAAACGTTTCTCTCGGAACTTCAGGCTAAAAAGGTTCTCAATTTTTGACTACAATTTACTTAAAAACCTCTTCATAGTGATTCACTTTAAAGGGCTTGCTTGAAGTCGTGACACAGTTACAATTAGCACACGGACAAGTGCCATCATCATTGTTATCAGGAACGATCTAAAAAAATTGATTTTATGGATTTCTAGATGAAAATATTACCTCTACTGTATAGTAGACTTCAGGAGGAAGTCCTTCAAAAAGATTCCAAGCGAAAATCCCTGGTTCTGCCTCAATTCGTAATAAAATCAACGTTTGATCGGTTTCAATGTTGCGCAAGCGGAGTTTATAAGAAGAGATGCAGAGTTCCCTAAATGATTGCAATGTTTAATGCATTGTAGTGTTTATTGGCTAAACATTGCAATGTTTATTGGCTAAATGACAAGTTCATAAAGCTGTGTCAGAGATTTGTGTTCGTTTGGCGCCCTTATAAAGAGTCCAATGTCGAATCAAATTGAGTTTCCCATTCATAAAGCTGTGCCAGTAATGTTTTATAATTATTTTATCACCAGAACCAGGTTGGAACCAGTTTGAATCAGAAGTTTGAACTATCAGTTCGAACATCCTTAGATATCTGTTACTAATTAGAAAATAGTGAAACAATTTGATTCGAGATTAGGCGCCTAAGGATTCTTTATAAGGTTCTTGACAAGCGTCACACGAAGCAAACACAGCTCTCTTGGTGAACACAGCTCACGAAGCCAACACAGCTCATTGGCTGTGTGATGGACTGCAAAATTGATGGTGTCTGTTTTCCCGAGTTCGAATCGTTTCCTCATCAATCTTATGCCTTTCTTGATACTTTTTGCTTTTGCTTTAAAGCCATTTCAGCCTTTTCAAAGCCATTTCTTGATGTTTTACAATAAAGAATTCTTTATGAATTGAATTTTATGCACAGTTTTTCTCTACGCATCTAATCCCGATAGCCGATTCTATAATTGGCTAAGTCTCGAATCAAAAAGTCACTTTAAGCCAAATCAAAAAGCCATTCTTTCAGCCATTCTCTAATAAGTATGCACATCAACAGAAATTTGACCGGTACAAGTCTAATTTGTGTTAGTATCTGTAGCAGATATTCAATAAGACTTTTAGAATCAAATTGGGATACCAGATGCTTTCTTAACCGTTGTAGATTCGATTCGAAATGTTGCTCAAAACGTGAATTTTGCAGCTTTCCTCTATTGACCACTAGTTGATCCCTTTCAAAAAAAGTCTTTTCATAAAAACGTGAGAATGTTTCCATATTTTATCCTTTCCCAAAGCTCATTAGTGTCCACTTTTTTTCAGCCTTCACTAATTTTTCCTCAACTGCCTCTCCATTCAAATTTATTTCTGGAAATCCCTTGACACTAGAAAGTCCAATAAATTTACACAATCTAGATATTTTTAGGAAAACAATATGCAAAGATAAGCCTTTTCAATGTTATTGGCTTGATTTTAGTTCTGAAAAAGTACTTACCATAAATACTGTAATAGTACCCCACCCCCATAATGACGGTGTGGAGCGTTGCGTAGTCTAGCTTTGAACGAGTTTTTCTCGACATTGGTTTAAGCTACAATGCGGGCTTAGGTATCAAAAAATAGCCCTGAATGTCAGCTATTTTTTGATACCAAAGACGCATTTTTTGAAAGTACGGGCGCTTTGAAAAAAATGAAAAACTAAAAAACTTTTGCGACTACGCGACTGTACGAGGGCGGTGGGGTACTATTACAGTATTTACGGTAATTTACTTAAGTACTTACTTAGGTGCTGTGGCGAAAGTAACATTCACTTTTCCCATAACACCTTGATAGATTTTGATCGATTGAAAAGCTGATGACCACATTGAGGCAAAGAATGATGGGGTGATTGTTCGATCTGAATTGTTATTTGATTCAAGTTTTAGTTTTTATTTTGTCAAACCTTTTCTCATTCGCATCACTTTGAGCTCATTTCGATCGCAGTTCACATTCTCGAGCCACGGCGGGACGCTTTTCTCAAGCCAAGTTTGCCCAGTTTCTCCTTTTGGCAGAAATGATATCTGAAGGTGTTTTCTTTAAAATAAAGCTTAAAATGTCTAGCATAATGGCTATATTTGTAATAATGCAAAAGATTTACCTGTACATCGTATAAGTGTCCAAACTTGAAGAGTCCTCTCGCTTTAATGTAGAATTCTCCCTGAAGATTTGTTGTAAATGTTGTATCAAAAGATTTGTTAACACGTTCGGGACGATTGGGTCGACCGGTGGACGAAGGCCGTCTGGCCCCTAGGACGGTCCACCAGTGGACGAAGGCCGTCTGGCCCTGGGATGGTTCGGTCCACCGGTGGAAGGCCATCTGGCCCCTGGGATGGTTCGGTCCACCGGTGGACGAAGGCCGTCTGGCCCTGGGATGGTTCGGTCCACCGGTGGAAGGCCGTCTGGCCCTGGGATGGTTCGGTCCACCGGTGGAAGGCCGTCTGGCCCTGGGATGGTTCGGTCCACCGGTGGAAGGCCATCTGGCCCCTGGGATGGTTCGGTCCACCGGTGGAAGGCATCTGGCCCCCGGGATGGTTCGGTCCACCGGTGGAAGGCCATCTGGCCCCTGGGATGGTTCGGTCCACCGGTGGAAGGCCATCTGGCCCCTGGGATGGTTCGGTCCACCGGTGGAAGGCCATCTGGCCCCTGGGATGGTTCGGGACACCCCTGGGGGAAGTCAGGCAAAAAAACGCCTTCGTCGCGAATGTGTTAAGAATTCCTTCTAGATTTGCTTACATGTTGCATCGCATTGTTGACTCGACTGATGCTTTTATTCAGATTCGTGTAGAAGACGGTTTTCATCGGATTTGAGACATGTTTCTCAGTGATTACAATTTCAAAGCCTAAAAATATTGAATTACTGAAAATCGAAAGTTGATGATCACCCAATAATGGTTGTTGAAGAGCGCCGATTGGGAGTCTCCATCGGATTCGACTCTCCACAGCTAACGCTCCGCTTGTTGTGTTTGGCTGTAAATGTGCTTAAGTACTTTTGAAAATTTGGAAATAAAATTGCATATTGTAAGTGACTGACTCTTAAATCTTAAAAACACACTCTTTCTAGTCATAAAGATTCATCTTTTTCTCTTTTATCTTTTTCTTGATAACATTAAAGGCTTGAGTTTTTCACAGAATTCTTTTCGAATAATGCATCATTTTAAATTAGAAACCAAAAAGCTCACAGCACAGATCAAAATTGGTTTCATTTTCTTCGTTGACCTTCGTTTGGAAAGATTTATTAGGCATTTTTCTTTTCATTCTCCGTTTTCTCGAATCGAAACTCTCAAATTAGACAAGAAATTGCTGTCGATTTGTAAAGAAAATTGAAGAAAAGGCAGTCAGATTACCTTTTGAGTACAGGAGATGTGTAATGTGAGGTGTGTAATGTACAGGAGGTGTGTAATGTACAGGAGATGTGTAAAGTACAGGAGATGTGTAATGTGAGGTATGTAATGTGCAGGAGATGTGTAATGTACAGGAGATGTGTAATGTACAGGAGAATGTGTATAAAATTTGGGATGAAAATGATAAGGAAAAAGTGATGGGATTTCAATGACGTAAAAAGAAGTACGATAGACGTTCTTTTCGACATCGAATGGATCTAGATTTTTGGCTCTAGTTCGTGAAAAGGCCTTTTTGAATGAATAGACACTTTGAAGGCCTATTCAAAAGATAACTTTGTTTAGTACTGATGATTTTCTATAGTTTTAAAGAGAACACTTCAGGTTTTCAAATGATGCCAAATAGAGGTTGATTGGATTAACAAATGCTGAGAAAATTGAGAGAGAAGATTGAAAAAAGATCACAATTTTGTAAGATAATAGTTTGGGAAAATGAAGAGATTGTAACAAAAATAGAGCAATTGATCTGATTGAAAGATTTGAGCATAGTGACGTCACACGGGCAAAGCCGGCTCATTCGCCTACCTTAGAGGATTTCAATAGGGCATAGCTATCTAGCGGGGTCGTGTGCCAGATGGAAAGGGATTACCCTGGCATACAAAGGACACTTCGTCAGTCATTTACATGTGGATCTCTTTTGCATTGTGGATGATACAAAAGAAGAAGTTCAGTTGTAAATTTGTACCCTGGGGTTTTCAGGGTAAAGGAATCGATTGGAGCTATTCATTTTACAGTTTTCTTGAGTTTACAGTTACAGTTACAGTTACAGTTACAGTTTACGGTTATTATCTCTACATCACGTTCAACTTCGAGTTCTTGCAAGCATTTTTTTGTATTTTACTTCATTTTTCATCATTTTGAAAAGACTTGAGACTTTTTGTTCAATGCCAAAGTGAAAAGTTTAACGAAAACTTGTCACCGCCACTGAGAGAGATCATAAATTTCCATTTTTTTTCTATATTATGCTCAAAAATAGAGAAAACGGGAGGCGTTTCGACGAAAATTTCTGGAAAAATTGAGCAAAAATTTGAGTAAAGGTGGATAAATAAGTTTTTGAATTGGAATAACAAAGAAGAAAAGTGATTTAGTTTTTAATATTCTTACCTTGATTAGATCAAAAATTCCAACATCTTCCGGTGCCAAGTCGCCCCAATCGACCAGTTGAGCATTTGTAGAAAAGTTGCTGTTGTTTTGGAAGTGACAGGCGATGATCTAAAGCTTTTTTCTGGTTTTGCTAGCGTTTTACGTTTCAATCAATCCTAGAGTTCGTAGCTAGATCTAGAGCGAGTTAAATCCAGAGCTTGACAGCTAGATCAGCAACTAAATCAGGGTAATCTTCAAGTAAATCCAAATACTTTCTGGACCAGACCAGCCGTAAGATCTCATCAGATCAAATTTCTTTGGCCACTTAGATGGTCTTTAGTTTAATTTAATGGAGATTCTAGTAAAAGCAACCATAAGTTGATTGAGCTTCCATACCTCGAGTTATAGATCATCTAAGTGGATCGACTTTTTTGGGTAGGTAGTCTAACTTTGATACAGATTTTCTCTATGTTCTTACACTAGAGTGTACTAAGTAAATTGTGGTTTTCTTAAACCAAATTTCATAAGGATCATTTTAAAACAAACCCCGAGTCGATCTGACAATTCGATCTGACAGATCTGACATCTGACTAATTTTAAGCTAAACCCTTTCTCTTAGTAAAGCTCATAAAATCATAAATTATGTTCAAATATTTTCCCAAAAATTTTGAGTGCATTTCACAGATTTTGCACTCTAAATCTCGTGATTTTCAATAAAAAAAACCTGTGGCTTTGTGGAACATTCCGGGTCGAGTACAAGAGCCGTCTGAATCGATGAGAGAATACAGGCGAAAAGCAATATGAGACTTAATACAATCCTCGGAAATCCATTTCTCAATGGGTGCCGCATCGACGCTCACATCAATTTCAAAAGACACAATCTGTAAAGTAAAGTTTTCAAAAGTTTTCAAAGGTTTTCAAAAGTTTGAAAAAGATTAAGAAATGGATTTTCAAAAGAGTCGCGTAAATGCTATAAAACTTTACAGAATCGAAGACATTTTAAAAATCGCAATAACTTTTATGTGATCAAATTTGGATTGAATTGGGTTTGAGAGTTGGATTTGGGCATAAAAAGGAAAAGTCAATATGATCAACTGTTGAAACTACGTGACGGAGAAAACCGTTTTCGATTCAAAAAAGCAAATGAAGTGGCAAGAGCAGGGGAAAAGACAAAAATGGATAGAGATAGAGATGATGATGGAAAAGAGAGTAAAAGGGGAAGAGGGGTCAATGGAAAATGGGGGAATGGGGAAATGGGGAAAAAGCCCTGCAAATTGTAGTGTGGAAATGAGGATTTTAAAGTGAAAAAATCGAGTACATATTACAATAAAAGTAACCTTTTGGCTAAATGAATTTGCGGGGGCAATGAAAGGCTTTTCGTCTCAAGTCACGGGGAAAACAGAAGCGGTCAGATTGGAAGCAGAGAGAGCTGATTTTCCAAGTCTAGCCAATTGGATCAAAGCCAAAAATCGGGTACGACTAGACTTGTAAATCAAATTGCAATCTTTTGGATGTGAGTATCGAATATCAAAATTACTGTAATGTTGAGAATTCAAGAATTTACAAGTTGTTAAGTTATTTACTAGTTATTTGCTAAGTTATTTATTAGTTTTTCTCAAATTTCTTAAAGCTTTGATGATCTAAAGCTTTTTTCTGGTTTTGCTATCGTTTTATGTTTCAATCAATCCTAGAATTTGTGGCTAGATCTAGAGCGAGTTAAATCCAGAGCTTGACAACTAGATCAGGAACTAAATCAGGCTAATCTTCAAGTAAATCCAAGTACTTTCTGGACCAGACCAGCCGTAAGATCTCATCAGATCAAATTTCTTTGAGCTTTCATTCTCTTTTTAAGCTGTTGACACTGATTTTTTTTTGTCTTTCCAAAGATTTTAGTGGCAAATTTCCGTTTTGAATCTTTTTTTTATAACTAAAAGGACTTTTTGTGATTTACTAGTTGTTAGTTACTTCAATAAGTAATTTAAATAAACAAAAATTATGTTAAAATTGTCAAATCAACTCTAAATAAAATGAAATTCAAAAAATTTCAAAAAATTTTTGAAAACTAAAACCAAATGATATTTTAAACTAAAAATTGAATAAACAAGGTAAATAGAATATATTCAAAACGATTTCAAAGTTGTAGGATGAAATGGAAGCTATACTGATCGGTTAGTTTGAAAAAAAGAAAGAAACTGGACGGAAGTGATGCAGAAATGAAACGGAAATCGGCGAAATGAAAGAAAAACGCCTAGATTCAGAAAATAAAACAAGAACACTAAAAATAAAAGCAAATTTTGAAAAGATCTTCAACTTTTTTTGATTCAGAAAACTTTTTTCTGTTTTCTGTTCTAGAAAACTGTTCCCGAAATTCAGATGTTCACCAGCTTTGGAAAACTTTTCCCTAGAGGTTCACCTATTCGCCCACCCTCCAATAATTCCCTGAAACACTTGAATAAACAGAGAAAAAGTTGAAAAACAAACAAATTTTTTGACTTGGGGAAACTGAAATTTGTTGTCAATTTGTGGAAAGGGAACCTTGCGAAAATTTACGTCAAAACTAGACGGAAATTGGATTCTAATTGTAGTAATTAAGAGAGAAAGAAGAGGATCAGTATCGGGTACAATCCTTTTTCGTTTTAGTCCTTTGAAAAAATTTGTAGGGAAAATATGGGCAAATTTATCGCGGGAATTGGTCTGAGTGGATGGAGAATAGTGACTTTTAGGTAGAAAAGGGGAAGGCTCCGTCGCAGGACGAAATCGTTTCGAGACTCCAATAGGGGACAGATATCTACCGGGGACGTGTGCCAGATTGCGAGTGATTCCCCGGCCACACAAAGAACATTTTGCATTTTACAGAGAGATTTTCCTTTGCACCGTGAAAAGATATTCAGCTGTAAATTTGTACCTGGGGAATCGATTAGCGTATTCATTTTCTCGAGTCTCTCAAACAAAAACGAAAATTCTTTTCTACTTGAGTTTTGAAAGGAATAAAGAAAAGCATTGAGCCAATGAACTAGCTAAAAACTTGAATAGCTTTAAAGAAAAAATTGTGCTTAATTTACGTCAGAGTTTAGGTCCACACTAACTTTTTCGTTTAATTGGAAGTGAATATAGCTGTAAATTTGTACCCGGGAAAAGAAAAATTTATTTTCTACTTGATTTTTGAAAGGAATAAAGAAAAGCATTGAACTCAATGAACTAGCTAAAAACTTGAATAGCTTTAAAGAAAAAAAATTGAGCTTAATTTACGTCAGAGTTTAGATCCACACTAATTTTTTTGGCTTTAATTGGAAGTAAATATCCGAGAATCCTTTGGGAGTCGAAAATTCGGTTGAAAAGTGGAGAAAATAGAGAAAATAGAGAAAATAGAGATTTTTTTCCAGACTCAACACCAATTATTTCACTACAAATCATTTTCTGAGTGAAGATTGAATTTCGGTAGAGTAAAGTGTTTCTGATGGAGGGTTTTTTTTTGATGTGATTACTTCGAGATTTACGCGATTTTCTCAAGAAAGTTGAGAAAATCGTGTTTCTAATCCCGAATTTAGACATAAACAATGCATTCTTTTGCACATGAGTGAATTGTTAGTGGTCATTAATCAAAAAAAAGTCGATAAAGCGTAAGTTTTGAAAAAATTTACAATATAAGCTTGAAAGAACAGACTTGTGCACGTGTAGAAGCTGATCTAAAATGGTAAAAGTGTCTAAAATCTAATCTATCAAATCATTCATCTATCATTTATCTTCTTTCATCTAACATTACGTTTTCTAAAACGTGTAGCTTTTGTTGAAAACTATTGTAACTCTAGCTTTGTCTGCATTTTAATTATAAAATCTCAGTCTCTTATTTCCTAAACAACCAAGTGCCGTAATCGATATTATTGTTTACTAAAGGAATACTTTTAATACAATATTTTAAGCTTGAAAGAACAGACTTGTGCACGTGTAGAAGTTGATCTAAAGTGCCAAAACTGTTTAAAACCGATCAAATCATTCCTCTATCATTTCCTCTTAATTACTATTACGTTTTCTAAAACGTGTCATTTTTGTTGAAAACTATCGTAACTCTAGCTTTGTCTGCTTTTAATTATAAAATCTCAGTCTCTTATTTCCTAAACAACCAACTACCGTAATCAATATTATTATTTGCTAAAGGAATACTTACTGAAAAAGATAGCTGAAATAATTGTAACTTTTGATAGCTAATAGTTTTAGAAAATGAGGCAATCGAAAATGAAATCAGTCTACAAGATATTGTAAAATGAAATAAAACTCTTATTTTACTATCGAAAGTATTTTGAAAATAAAGTTGATTTCGATTTGAAATAATTGACAGTTAAACAATTCGAAATCGATAGAAAATCCGTCCCTTCTCAACATATAAACTGATTGAACAAAGACTGAATTCTTTTGCAAAAATGAATGATTTCAGAAAACACATTACCAAAAAACGATCGTTTATAACTTGCCAACCTAATAGAATAAGATATTAGAATAAAGATAGATAGATACTTTATTCATGACCTGAAATAAAGTGCGCTAGATTTAAGATTAAAAGACATGAATTCATACACATAACCCGAAAAGGGCCGATAAAAAGCAACACGATAAAATATATGTAACATATGGATAGCACAGATAACGTCAAGGATCCACTAGAGCTTCAAGATCAAGATCATCTACAGATAAAGCAATATATGGGTAGCACAGAAAACGTCAAGGATCCACTAGAGCTTCAAGATCAAGATCATCTACAGTTAATTGAAAGGTTTCGAGATTATAAAACTGACTTCGATTTGAAATAATTGACAGCTAAACAATTCGAAATCGATAGAAAATCCGTCTCTTGTCAACATATAAATTGATTGAACAAAGACTAAATTCTTTTGCAAAAATGAATGATTGAGATGTTGACAAGAGTTTTCGAAATTTTGAGTGATTTGTTTTGAAATTGGTTTTAAGAAATCATTTATTTTTCAGAGAAGATTCATGTTGAAGCCAGAAATTTAATTATCAGCAAAGTTTGCAAAAGTTTCAAGAGGATTAAACTGAAATCCATTAGATCAAACCGGAAATTTCAATGTTCAAAGTTTCTATCGAAAGAAAATGAGGGATCTTTGCTCGGAATGGGGATTTAGTTGAGTCAGGGATTTCTGTAGCTATTTTCTCTTCATAAATTCCAATTTGCATAGATTAAAGCACTTAAAAGCTAGCAAATAAGAAACTTTTTTTATATTGGGTAAATGTTTTTAATCTAAAATGGGATTTTGTTAAGTCATGATTGTTCTTGATCTATATTGAGTTGTTTCAAAGACATTTTTAGACCAGAATTTGCTGTAAGTCTGACCTGTAGGTCAGTTTTAGAAACAGCCAACATTATTTGAATCATTTGGATCATTTGAATCATTTGAATCCTTTGGATCCTTTGGATCCTTTGGATCATTTGGATCATTTGAATCATTTGGATCCTTTGGATCATTTGAATCCTTTGGATCCTTTGGATCCTTTGGATCATTTGAATCCTTTGGATCCTTTGGATCATTTGATTCCTTTGGATCCTTTGTATCCCTTGGATCATTTGAATCATTTGGATTATTTGAATCCTTTGTATCCTTTGCTTTGGATCATTTGGATCATTTGGATCCTTTGGATCATTTGAATCCTTTGGATCATTTGGATCATTTGAATCATTTGAATCATTTGGATTATTTGAATCCTTTGGATCCTTTGGATCCTTTGGATCCTTTGGATCATTTGGATCCTTTGGATCATTTGAATCCTTTGGATCATTTGGATCATTTGAATCCTTTGGATCCTTTGGATCCTTTGTATCCTTTGGATCATTTGGAT